TAGCTCAATTCCTATCTAATAATGTTTTTACATATTTTTTCTAGGTACATTGGATGCTAAGAAGACTAAAGGCAGCTGAAGTATTAGTTGGACAGTTCACGTCAGTCAGATTGATCACCAATTTTGAACATGGTACAAGCATTTTTGGGTGATTACGTCTTCTTAACATTTAATCCCCTATCTCTTAGATTTCCAACTCACTTTGAATCGCATCAATCCAATAACGGGAACTCGAGATATGCCTAGATTACTGAAGACAGTGTAGGCTGGAAATAATTACGGGATTTGCAACCATTCATCTCCTTCAAAGGACTTATGCATGGGAGGCATTAATATAGAGATGAATGGACAAGAAAAGAATATTAAAATGAATCAGCACATTTGTGAGAAGGTTCAAGGATTCATTCAAAGGCTTTTAAGTTCATCCATTCATGCATATTCATGCAAGAAGCCGAATAGTCGTGTTCACATAAGGGGGGAAGAATTTCAGCCAAAATACTTTCATGAACATTCATCCATATAAGACAAATCAACAAGTTCACACAATGAGGTATGAATTCGTCCAAAGGATGCATTGCAGTAAAAGATGAACATCCATTTATCAAATTCATTCACCTAAGTCATGCTTTGTACCATGTTCAAAATATTTGTACCTAAGCCATGATTTGTACCATTTATCCAACTGACTTTGTTTAATCAAATATTTGTGAGAGATTCTCTCCTTAGCGCTTAAGTGAACTTTATCGACTTATCCAGCTTCTGCTTGTGGCATCACCCCTATCTATTTCACCCTGATACTTCTGGTTCCTATCTCTTTATAGATAGTGGGTCAAAGTTCCTTGTTTACCACCCTTAAAGAAGTAATATAAAGTTTGGGTCTTTGTTCTTTAACATTGGTTCTTCTTTAAGTTTTCTTTGAGATACTATCTTTCATCTTCATCTTCATCACCTTCATTCTACTTCCATTACCATACTTCATCATTTCCTTTAAACATATCACCAACTTTTATATATATATATATATATATATTCCGCTGTCATATTTATCTTTCCATTTCATTACTTCCATTTAACCATTTTATTTTTTAGCTTTATTGTTTGTGCAGGATCCTTGTTGCTTTCCTAGATCGAAACAATCAAAGGTACAACCTTGATTTCACCATCTATCCAAGTGAGGCTAGGTTGATCTATATCATTTATGATTAGGGGTTACGATTTAGAGTTTATGATTTTTTGGTGATCCCTAAATTCATTCTAAAAATGAACTTATGAATTTTAAGGATTACGATTAGAGTTTATGAAATTTTTTTGGGATTTTTAGGAATTTATAAGTTTTTTGAGATTTTATGGAATTTAAGTTTTTTTTGGGAATTTTAAAAATTTCATGGGTTTTTTAAAATTAACTTTTGGATTGCTGACTCATGTTATGCATATTATGTATATTATGTTTGCAGTTAAACTTAAATGTTAGTACCTGAACTTTCACGTTTGATCTGATTTAGTAACATTCAATTATTTTAAAAACGTACCTAATGTTTAGTTTTTGTTTCAATTTAGTATCCCGCCGTTAAAAACTTAACGACAGATCAACGTGGTTTTTTTAATTATTATTTAATTAATTTTAATCAACTAATAACGGTGTCACCACCTTATTCGAACAAAACCAACAAAAAAACATAGAGGAAGGCTTAACAAGTTTTGAACCAGAGTCAGCGGAGAGAGTAAGGGAGGCACTCACCCGTCTAAGCTGCACCAAACCATTGGATAGTTGCCAAAGTATACATTTAACATATACTAGAATATCACTATAAAATGCCAAAATTATTATTTAACTTATAAAAATTTTAAATTAAAATTAAATAATTTATCATTTAGAAATAAGAAAATAATTAAATAAATATTTAAAATTATTATTTATATTTATTTATTTGATTAAATAATCATGAAAAATATTAAATTAAAATTTATATTCTATCCTTCAATTTTTTAAAATAATTATTTATATCTATTTTCATAAATGATTATAAATTAGAAGTTTATATTTAAATTTTAATAATTAAACAAATAGAAATAATTTTAAATTTTAAATAATTAAATACATATAATTTTAAACTACTTATAATATAATCCATATAATTTTTAAAATAAATTAATACTGATTTTATAAAATATATAAATAATTATTTAATTATCTTAAATTAAAATAAGTTAAATAATAATTTTGTATATATTAAATTAATTCTTAATATGATTTTAATGATCGAATATTTTGGGAGATGTCCTAAGTTAGAATCATATATCTAACAATTTCCTTTCATTTTATGATGACAACTTAGTATAATCCTCCAATTGGATGAATTTTAAATTTTTTTTAATATTTTAAATGAATAATATTTCCACATCAAAGGATCGCTGGTGGAGTATCGAACCTCGGTCCCTTGAAAATGAAGCATCGACTCAACCCCTGGAGCAAAGAAAATATTTGTTACATGAGTTCATATTGTTTTATATATTATGTTTTATATTACGACAAAAAAATAAAAATAAAAAGCTATTAATTGGATTCAAACATGAAATTTTGATTTGGAGTGTGTGCACTTTAACTATCAAAGTAAATCAAACATTTGAAAAGCGCTTACACTATTGTTTATATATCGTTAATATCTATTAAAAGTACAAGTTTAATTTTTTTAAATTAAATTGTTTTTCTTTTATTTTTCAATTATTATATATGAATTATATTTTAAAAAATAAATTTTATTAAAATGTTATTTGACGAATCAAAGTTACAAACACAACTTAAATCACAAGACAAATTTATAATTCAAATCTTAAAATTTTAAAATCCTTTTGAAGACAAAAATTTAAGATTTGAATTATAAATTTGTCTTGTGATTTAAGTTGTGTTTGTAACTTTTGATTCATTAAATAAAATTTTAATATAATTTAATTTTTTAATATATAATTCATATATAATTCAAATCTTAAATTTTAAAATCCTTTTGAAGAAAAAATTTAAGAGTTGAATTATAAATTTGTCTTGTGATTTAAATTGTGTATGCAACTTTCAATTCGTTAAACAAAATTTTAATATAATTTAATTATTTAAAATATAATTCATATATAATAATTGAAAAACTAAAAGAAAAACAATTTCATTTAATTTTTTTAAACTTATACTTTTAATAGATATTAACGATATATAAATAATAGTGTAAGTTTTTTCAAATGTTTGATTTACTTTGATAGTTAAGATGCAACCATTCTAAATTAAAATTTTATGTTCGAATCCAATCAATAGTTTTTTGTTTTCATTTTTCGGTCATAATATAAAACATAATATACAAAACAATTGAACTCAAGTAACAAATATGAGATTTGCTCTCGTGGCTAAGGCATTGCTTCATTTCTAATGGACCCATGTTTGATTCTCCACCAGCGCCAGATATTCTATTGATTCATTTTCATTTTAAACATGTAGTGATTGTCACCATCTGATTGCTAAAAATATTATTCAATTAAAATACTAAAAACAATCATAAAAAGTCATCCAATCATGTTGTGACACATGTCATAATAATGTCACTTTTGACACACGTCGTCACATGATTGAATGATTAAATATATTGAATTAATTTAAAATTATGAACAATTTAGTAGAATGTGTAACTAATAGAGATTAAATGTATAATTAGACTAATTTTATTAACTACCACGTCCTTGCTTCCGTTAACGGTTAACGGCAAGTGGCTTGATTAATTCATTTAAATAATTGGATGACCTGATTGACAAAAATTCAAAAATAATGATCAAAGTGAAAAAAAGAAATAATTAGGTGGTCACTGATATAATTTACTCTAAAATCAATTAAAACAGTTTAAATTACCTTTTTATCCAACTACACTCATTACACCTATGTTTAGAACCGTGGGATGTTCTTTTGGTAAAAAAGTTAACCAACGGTGTTACTCGAAACGAATCTGGTGTAGCTGCGTTCTATCTGCGACGGATCTGGTGCGGCCGCAATTATTATGCGGCTATGCTATCTGCGACGGATTAAATCTGTAATATCTTGTTATCTAGAGGTATGCATTCTAGTCGTGGATCGATATAAATCTTCAAGCACATATCAATTCCGTCATGCTCCAAATGCTAGTCTCTACATCATGAGGGTAGCCAAAAGCACAGAAAATAAGTGTAAATTTCCTGACAGTAGAGGTTAAAATATTTGATGCCAACAAGTTCGGAAATCATGACATAAAAGAGAAATTGTTACTGAAAATATATGGGAGTAAGCTTTCAAACCAGTGAGGAACCGGATATAAGTTGGCTTCCACGATCCACTTGATGGGATCAACTGATATTCGGCACAAGGCACAGTTGTTATCTCTTTCTTCCGCTTCATCACTGTCTCCAAGTGAGTCATTATTCTTTTTCACATTTATTTTTATTTTTCGGTTATAATTTTAAAATTTGTATTGATATAGAAATATTCAAAAATCTCGATCTTGGTTTTGATTTAATCTTCTGCATTGATTATTTAACCTTTGATTTCAGATCGTCTTAGTTATTGATGTGGTTTGTTTTTGTATTTTTTAGGATGGTGCCAATAATTCGTACTGTTGTAAGTCGCGGCGTGTTTATTTATTCATTTATCTTTTTGTTATTTTTTTTAAAATAAATTTTGATTTAACTTCTTTATTTTATTTAATGTCTTTTTTTTACTCCAGTTTGATCCCATCGTATCTCTGTTGGCTTACCAATCTCTGTTGGAGAGGCGTTCTGAATCTTGTTCGTAATCAAAAGAAACTGGTAACTTTTGATTTAAATATGCAAGTCATTCATAAAAATTTAGTCTAAAGTTTTTTAATTTATCTAATTTATTATTTAGCTTTATGTTGGGCTTTCGTAGCCATTTTTGTGACAGAGACTGCCAGAAAAATCTTATTCAATGACAAAAATATGTTTTGCTTGTCTCCACAAATGTTACTTGACTGTGCATGCCCAATCTTTCCACCTCAATCCCTCCACCTTACATCTACAATACTAACAAGGCGTTCGAATGGATGATGAACAATCCTCTACAGACCGAACAGGATTATCATTGGGTTGGTGTGAAGGATATTTGTGCTCCTAAAGCTGATGTACTCTATCATATATGAATGCATCTTAAATTTTATAATCTGATATAATTATTTAATCATTTTATCCTATATATATTTTTAAAATCAACACATATGCTATGGTTAATGGATGAGAACATGATAAATTTCGTGTGTTGTTGTTTTTGTGATTGTAGTCTGACTATACTTTGAGGATAAACTCATATGCCACAATTAGAGGAAAGGAGCGGGAGAAGATTATGGAGATGGTTATTGTTCATCCGGTAGCTGATGTGATGAACTTTACCCAAGAATTAAAAAATCTAAAAAATGTAAGTAAGATTTTTAAAATTAATTAAATTGATATTTTTTGTATGATATGTTTAATATTATTTTTCAGAAGATTTATGAAGGTCGTACCCTACGTTCAGATGATAGAAGAAGACACGATATGATGATTGTCGGATATGACACTGATGAAATTCTCAATAAGAATTACTGGATAATCCAGAATTCTTGGGGTGAGGCATGTTGGGAATCACGGTCTTTCCGCTTCGTGAAGTTAAGATAGACACTTAAAATTAAGTATAGTAAAGAGAGCACAATAGCATAATTCTCCAATTTGGAGATTCTTCCACTATACAAAAGAATAGTAGGATTACAAGGATTTGTTCACAAAATTTGACTCACACTTAGTGGCTCACTCAAGCTTGAGGATAAAGACTTCCCAAACTATCTCTATTATCTCTCAAAGAGGCTCTCTAACTCTCTAGTTTCTCACTTTAAGAAGTGAATTCTCTTAGTATTTTTGAAACTTTGGATGGTTAGGAATGAAGTTTCTCACCCATATTTATATTATTCCACCTCCACAATGTATGGTGGAGATTACTTACATCCAAGGGTGGAGATTAATTATCTAGAATGCTCCACACACTCTAAGAAGCTCTACACTCTTTCACTTCCTTCTATATTCTTCCATACATTTTCATAAGGTTCCACACATCTCCAGAATATTTAAGAGAATTCACACTCTTCCACAAGCTTCTAGAGGTTTACACTTCTCTAGAGATCTCTGGAATGTTCTACAAAATTCTACACTTCTCCATAAAATTTTAGAATTTTCTAAAACCTCTCCAATTAAGGAGGGATCCAACAAGGCCTGAGGCGAAAAAGACTTAAAGATAGATGATCATTATTTGGTCCGTCGGATTAGCTATCCTATATTTTCCGCTGCCAATTATATTGTTATTTCATGTAATAGTTGATATATAATAACCTTTAGATTGCATTGGAATCGTTATGACTATATTAACTGCTAGATAGTATATGTAGCTGTTCATTGCCATTGGAGTTATCAAAAGGTACTTTCAACATAGCTTTTAGCCGTACAATACCATAGATGCTTTGCATGTACATGCAAATTTGAATCTTCTTAGATTTTCCTTTTCCACCTGCCCCTCTTTAACTGCTTGGTTTGGATGACGATGTTTTTCTAGGGTAAAGAAGTTGGGGGAAGGGGTGAGGGGGAACATGATCTCCATAATTTTCTAACTTGAGAATGTATAGAGCAAGAACCCTACTAAAACTGCAAAATTTTGCTGGGTTTGGTAAATGTATAGACAACACACCTATGAACAGTTGAAAATCATAATGTTACTATATACACCCCCAGTATACAAGTAATATTTACATTCGTTGTCAAGTTTACATACACATAAGATTATTAATTATTAGAAGTAAAAGAAGTAATATTTATTTTTGGATTCTTCATTTCATTATTTTATATTTTTCATTATTAATCCGTCGATTTACAAGGATACGTTAGAAAACAAAAGTAGCTGTTAAAGCGGATTTGGCGTACAATTTACAAGGCTATCAGGCTATGTACCGATGTATATGTCCAGCAAAAGAGGAACTGAACTTCGTATGCCTGTTCTTGCTAAGGGGAAAAGGTTTTCCTCAGCTAGACTTTAACCTATCCAATCGATAAAACCTCTGCATATATTGAGAAAATAAAGCGTTAAAATGATGATGAAGAAGCCGGATGATGCGTCTACAAGCATCGATTGATAATCTTCACCAGAATAGAGTGGATATATTCTAGTAAAGGCACAAGTAATGAGATCAATGTCTGCATATCCTCTTTAAGGTTGTCGTAATTTTGATCTTTTTTCGTGAGGAGACTAATAAATATCTTGTTATCCAGCGCCAGTTTTAGAGCTACCTGTAAACATGAATTCTGTTGGTTCATGTTAAATTAAAAGAAAATGTTCAAACATTACTTAAAAAAACATGTCAGTTGCTGTTAACTGGAGCAGGAATGCCTAGATACCTTAAAAGCAGCCGACGAGATCCATCCATGCCTAGGCTTCAAAGTAACATTATAGGATTCTTGAACTGCTTGTTCCATGTTCTGCTCAGGTTCCCTCACCAATCTTTGTAACAAAGCCACCATAAAATCCATGGATCTGAAAGGGAAACGAGTTTATGTTAGACCCAAAAGACAAAAGGCTGGTTTGGTTTTTCATTCTTCATGAAGTACTTGTGTTTCGAATTCGTGTCCAATGCATGTTTTGGTAAAGTAAAGCTGAATCAACAGTAAACAAGTTTAGATTATTCGAGAAAAGTTTTATTCAGATTTTCACTAGCTATGGATAAATTCGTGGTAATGGCATGATGCATGGTCCCTTCTCTCTATATATAAAGAAATAAATTCGAAAATATTCATGTGTTACATATATCTATATTCTGCTTACCTGGTAAGCCAGGGGAAGGCTTTACTGCAACTGCTGCCCTTTCTTGCATTCCCTTCACTCTCTTCCCTTTTCAACATCCCAATCAAATTCGAATACTTTGTAGGATCCGATTCCAAAAGAATCTCCAATCTCTAAAAAATGAATAGAAGAGAGGCATTCAGTCAATCTACAAATAGTGGAGTTTTCCCATGGTCAAAACTGCCCATTTAAAAACTGGTTAAATGACAAAAATAAAGACAAATGAAGTGGAAGATTCGTTCAAACATCACAAGGGTGTTCTTGTCAACTACGAAGAAATTAAGTTCTTTCCTCAACTATGCAGTTTTTTAGTTTTACTTTTAACCTGGATGTTTTGATGAATGTCGTCCAAGGACAGCCATAGTCGGGCCTATCTTGTCTGGAAAAAAAAGTAGGAAAAGGAAATTTCAGTCGATATATTGAAATCCACATGTTTGGAGAAAGATAAAGAGTAAAGAAGGAAAAAAATTGACCAAGAACTTGAAGAATCAAAGTGCAGACATGAAGAAAAGGCCTGGTTGGTATATAAGCAACGTCTGCAGCTGCTGCGGGATGAGCTTTGGTTAGCATGGAGAGTTCTTCAATGGCGGACCTTATCTCTGCTTTCGTTTCCATTTCCCTTTTTCTCTTCATTTCTTGATATAGTTGTGTCAAACCGTTTTTTAAATGTGTGCGAAATTTTGAAAATCATACCATTTTTAATTTACCTCTTAATTCGTTGACTTTTAATTAAAAAGTAAATGTGATTTTAGAAAACTATCGTTTTCAAAAATTTGAGATTTCTTTTTTAATATAAAAAGTATGGTTCGATGAGTCGTCACCAATATTTGATTAGGGTGTATTGGTACCCAAAAACGTTTTTTCCATTTTAAATAAAAAATAATTTTAATTGAAACGACAAATTTATGTCTACGTTACCAGAAAATGAGTTCGGGAGTCGATTACAAGTGGGGAATGATTAGCACCCCACAGTGCCCTAAATCAGTACCTAGTCGATTAATTAATGTCTTTGCAATGAAATTTACAAATATGAATTTAATTTGATTTATGATCCCAACAAAATAACAATATACGAATTTTACCATATTCAAAAACACCCAGATTGATTAAGTTAAAATTATCCAATATTTAGAAAGATAAAGAATATTCGATTATTTAAAAATATCGAGACAGATCTTAAATAGTTATAACAACATTTTCTCGATAAATTTAAATAATCAAACATTTCTTTTTTTTTCCATTACCAAATTTTAAGTGATGAGTCAATTTCTTTGGTGTAACTGATGGGATACACTTTTATTTTAAAATCGTTAAAAGCGGACCTCGAATAAGTTAAGATAACCCACTTAAAACGATTTTAAATTAAAAGAGTATTACCCTTAATTCAATTATGTAATAATGTCGAGTTATACAAATAAGGATAACATACATATTAACTAAAAAACATACTCGAATACATGTTTAAACCTAATAAATTTTAAAAGAATACATGCACATGTGAATAGTAATATATATATATACATATCTACTTTATAAACATGCTAATGGATTATCGATATTTTAAAATGGTTAAACTTATGTATTACATGTATTATAATATGTAATAAATATCTAATGCTTTTTCACAACTTAAAGAAAAAATGTTTATTACGTTATGCCTAGTATATGCATGGTCTATTGATAAAAAATTAAGTCCTATTTAATATTTAAATGCATACATATATACAGCTACACAAACACCATATAATATATTAGAGGAAATAAACGCTTCGAATATAAAAATAACTACCCATAAATGAAACAAAACAAGTCACCGTTGGTTCATATAATACTCACAATTGCCTATAGTTATTTTAAATTATAAAGGACTAAAATAAGAAATAACAAAGACATACATACTAAAATGAAAGACTAAATAATACTGTAGGACTAAAAAAGAATCCACAAAATTACAGTTCAAATGTAAACACCACATGGAACCGAAACAGCCTAGCCTAGGACTAAAAAGAAAACGTGTAAATTTTGAAGATATAAACAGAAACTCAAAAGATAATAAGACCAAAATGCAATACTTTGAATATTAAAGGTTTGCACACATGATTAACCTAAAAATATTAATATATATTCTAACAAATTAAACCTAAACTAATCTTAAACCTAAATAACACCCAACAGCCGTTCTATCCTCTGCCCCCTCTTCTTCTCCACCGAGAACCCTCTCCTCAACCTACCTTTCGCCCCCGATTGCAAAACCTTAGCCACAAAAAACAGACCCTACACCTATCAAAACCAAACCATGGCTGCTCTCATCCCGACGCTGGATCCGAACCGACAAGGTAACTCAAGACAATTAAGGTAAATCAACCCCTTCATTCTCCTTAGGTAAGCATCTCAAATGGGTTCTCTCCCTTTTTCATTTTGGGTATTTTGGTTGTGGATTTCTTGTTGATGAGAATGTTTTTTTAAAAAATATTCTAAATACTAAACGAACGCTCTAAACGGTCTAAAGATTCGACCTCTTTCTTGTATCCTATACAACCAGAGACCGACGAGACTCCGGCGACAACCCTAGCTTCGGTGACGAGGATTTATCACTAAAGTAAGCTCAATCACTCTCTCTATTTTACTTTTATTTTCAAAGTAGCTACCCCTCACACAAAACTACTGGATATCGAAATGAAGAAGGAAAGTACCTTAACAAATGTTACTGCTTTCTTTCAAACCAAAGGAAGAGAGAAATCTAAAAAAAAACTTTTCTCGTATTTATTTTGAATAAAAAAAATTCCTTTTACATTTG